CTTGTATTTGATTTCTTTTTATTGTGCATAGTATTAATCCTGTAAATATTTCTTTCTGTAAATAGATCTGTTAACCTTTTTGCTGCTTTATAAAAAAAAAATATCCAACCTAACCCTTCTCACTTGAGCTAGCATGGTAGAAGAAAATGGACGGAAATAATTCCGATTCGGACAGCAACGGCTCAAAATGTGTGTAAAGCTTTCAGGCAGTTTATTGTATATCGATGGGGCTCCCCTAGAATTCTTCACACAGACAATGGCACCCCTTCTGTGAATAAATTGCTAGAGAGTCTCGCAGCTAGTCTTGGGATTGCCTTGAGTCATACACCACCATATTGGCCTCAAACGAATCCAGTAGAGCGAACTAAACTCTTACCAACCATCTAATCAACCCACACATAAACATCACCCCCCCCCCTCCCATTTCCCCCAACAACATCCACCTCATACTAAACCCACCCACCCCCTAACACAACCACTCACCTACTTTCACACACCCCCTCACCACCCCAAATTTCTATCTCCCCAAACCCACCACCAACAAAAAAATCACCAACACTACTATCCCCCCTACAATCCCACCCTAACCAATATAAATTAATCAACAAAACCCATTAATCCTTCAAACTTCCTTCCCTCCTCCTTCCTCCTCCACCTCCTCTCAACCTCTCTTCCCCTACCCCACACCCCCTACCCCTTCCTCCTCTCCAACTTATCCTTTCCCACTACCATCTCCTTTACACACAACACCAATCATTCCCTCTTCAACTCACTCCCCCACTCACCATCCCAAATCCTTTCCCCCCCAAACACCACAACACCCCCCCTACCCCACCCCTCATACAACCCCCAATTCTACCCCTCCATACCCCCCCCTCATTCCAAATTTCCTCATACCTCACCCCCCCCACCCACAACCCCTCCAATCCCCCTCTATATCTTACACCCTCACCTCCTCATTTTATTAATACCCCTCAACCTCCCTCCATCCCCCCCCCCCCACACAATTTTGTTTCCTGGGCAGATGACTATTGGATATTTTAGCATGTGCATGTACTCTTACATCTTATTGTATCTTGACTATCTTTGGATGTGGCATGCCATAATATTGTATATAAAATAAGTATCTTTTTTTGTTATTTTTATTATCTTTATTATCTTAAATATCTTTCTTTTTTTTAACTTTAATTATATATACTAATTATGTTTGAGCTCCCTCTTTTTCCTTGTATTTTATTTCTTTTTATTGTAAATAGTATTAATCCTGTAAATATTTCTTTCTGTAAATAGATCTGCTAACCTTTTTGCTGCTTTATAAAAAAAATATCCAACTTAACCCTTCTCACCTGAGCTAGCATGGTAGAATAAATGATTTATCATGGCCAAATCATGGGTAAGTAACTTATATTCTCTATAATTATCTCTTTAGAGATGAAAGGCTAGTAAATCCAGGCGCCAAACAAATAAAAATTCCTATGGAAAATTATATTTATTAAAAATTATTTTATTATCTTTTATTTTATCCTTTTTTTGGTCATAATAGTAAAAATTTAAATTGGTTTTCTTGCAGAAATTGGATGATATACAGTCATGCGTTATATCTCAATCCTTTATATCTCAGTGCTGCTTAGAAGGAAGTTGGGGGTTTAAATAAAGAAAGAAAACACACCTTTTTCTACCCAAATTAGGATGATAAGTTGTGTGATGATCTCACTGAAACGGATTTTGAACATAATGAATTCTGACGATTCTGTAATACTTATAATGAAATAATCAGGTCCATGATTGTTCATATGTACTTTAAACCACGTCTGCCAAGTAAGATCAGTAGAGCTTCCTCACCGTTTTCATTAGCTACAAAATATTTTTATTTCAAGATCTAAATTTTTTCATATGAGAATAAAATCGCTGCGAGAAGCCGTTTTCGGAAATTCAGTAATCCCTCAACATATACGTGTTTGATATCCAACAGTTTTGTACATACTGCGAAATTGCGAAAGGGTTTCGCATTTGCAGATTGCATATTTGATAATTCGTGATTAAAACAAAAAATTCCAGGGCTAACTATCTGAACATGAAATAGAAATAGAAATCGAAAATAACTTTATTCTGGGACAAAGTCCCTTTAGAATAACAAAATAGAACATAATTAAAATACTACATCTGACCAAAATAAAACAATAATGAAAAAGAGAAAGTAAAGAAAAAGATTAGTTAAACAAGCTGTTTACAAAAAAAAAAAAAAATCTATATACAAAACACTTAAAACTATGATAAAACACTTAAAACTATGTACAGTAGGAAAAATTATAATTGTACTCTTTTGAAAAATAAAATAATAAAAAATACATTGAGTTCTTCTTTAAAAAGATGTATTTCTGCTAACAAAGAAAAGACAAAGCTGAGAATATAAAATGTCAGTGTATTTAAATAATGAATAATATGTAGACTCATCATTTTCAAATGCTATAGGTACAGATTTAATTATATACGAATAAAAAAAAAAAAAAAAAAATAGATGCGGTCAGTGACATTAACAGCAGGAAGATATTGTAATATCCCTAGTGAAGTTCACAATACAGAATAGTACTATCGTTTGATGACTAGAAATGTATAATATCAAAAGTTTAGCAAGTATCTGACTGTTTTTGGGATAGGAATTGGAATAGGAGGGAGTTGGATGTGGATATGGAGGGGGATGCCGAATTTTGATAGGTAGAGAATTCCAGAAATTGACAGCGCCAGCTATAAAGGAATTTTGAAATGAGGCAGATCTGTGAGAAGGGATGTAGAGATATCAGTTTGTCTGTGAAAATTGTAAAAATTAAGTGTTTAAATGAGAGCATAAAAACTAATAATTTCTTCATGATTTATTAGTATGATTTCATGTTTTATTGCCCACTAATATTTTCCACTGTAGCAGACTACTTATATCAGTTACAGGCGACAAAATGTCAAATATAGAATAAAATCGAAAGCTTGTACATACCTACTTTTGCACTAATAGTAGATAACTACTATTGTGCCATATAAATGTACTTATGTATTCACACTTAAAATGGATGGGGAAAAAAATCCGTAGGAATTATTCAACTTTTTGTTTCTTCAGAGTTATTGAGGCTAAAACTTTTCTTCAGTCAGAACAAAACTAATTTAAGCTGGAATCTAAAAATATAAGTTCTCACAACTTTGACGTTTAAGGATGAAATCAAGACCACAACGAGCTGGTTGAACTTCAATCATATAAACACAATCATAAATACGACTACTTTTTATTTACAAACTTAAAGTAATAATCAATTTAAATTTATTGAAAATTACACGAAATCTACACAACGGCAGTAAGCATCATGTTATTAATATTTGGAAACAACCAAACAATACAGTATGGATTAACTATTTGAATAAAACCTTATTAAATTTTATAACCTTATAAAAATATTGTCTTAGCCTAATCCCTATTACATATGATCAATGTCTTCCACATTTCACAGCCATTATAATGTTAGGAGTTATTTATATTAATTTTAATTATTTAATGAAATTCAATGAAATTAATATTATGCAATTTCTATAAAGTTCTCCAAGTTTGAGTCAAATTGAAAGAGCCGTTTTCAGACCATAGGCGTTTAAAATAATACATTCACTGATCCGAAAGCACAAGTATTTTTTTTTTTAGAGTTGTGGATAGAAATATATAAAATTGATATTTACTTGATTATCGGTTAACTGATTCCTAACGTTCCTCCTAATCTGAGTCAAATTGATTTTTACTGATTTTAGAGATGTTTACGTATTTACAAGGAAAACACGTTTGCGTATACATAAGAGAAAGTAGAGGACATATTTCAATGAAATTGATACTGCGTTGTTTTTTTATCAATACCTATCTTTTTTCTAACTTTGCGTCAAATCGAACTTTTCTGAAATATTGGCATATCAAAAAAATACGTTTGCGCCTGCGTAAGCGGAAACGTTGGATGGAATTTGCTGAAATTAATATCACCATCTAGACACAGACCCGTACAATCCCCGAAAATTTCATGAAAATCGGATAAATGGTAGTAGGTGATATGCCCGCTACATCGATTTGACTTCAGGCAGACAGACACCGAACAAATTTTTATCCTTGATGTCTGAAACGTAAAACGCGAGTGGAAATTTTCGATCCTAAACATAACTTTTTTTTAACCTCTCGCACGAACACAATGCTTCCCTAACTTCGGTAATGAGAAAGCAAACTAATGAACAAGCCCAGAATGGTCAGAATGAAAACTCAAAAAACAAGTAGGGTAAAATTGAAAAAAAAAAAAAATATATTGGGCATTTTTTTTAATATATGAAATGTTATTTAAAAAAAAATAATGTTAATTATTTTAATTATTATTATTATATTTTTATGCTCAACGCTCGGTGGGATTTATATCTAGTAATCTTACGGATCTTGTGGAGCGAGTGATCACATATAACTTGGCATAACCATGTTTTTACCAAACTGGGCTGAAATTCAGTATTTATCAATTTGTATTTGTAATAATGTTGTACTATACCAGTTAGATATCCTTTGTCTCTATCATATTACAAAATATTAATTATGTTTATAATAACATATTTCTCAATATTTTAGAGTTAACAAAGTAAGAAACTCATATTAGTTTTAGTAAAGCATTGCCCACACCGGGCACGCAGACCAATGCAGGACAGAACATTCGTAAGTGCACAAAAGTACCTTTCCAGAACTGCGCAGAACCGCGCGGTGTTCGCGGTCTTGTTCATAAAAGCTTGTTCATAATTTTATGACAAGCTATTTTCTGAAATATATTTTGGTTTGACAAAAAAATCATTTATTAACGCCGGTAATGAAAAATTTAAAAAACAGATTATGCATTAATTTATAATGATCCGTTTCAACATCAATTTTGAAACCTTAGAAAATTTAACGATTGGAATATTTCATGACGATAAAAATATGAACAAACGAAACATATGTTTTATTTATTTCATAGTTGTCACAAAGCCATTAGTTCATTAACATTGTGTATATATATTGTATATTGTAAGTGTGTATAGTGGAAGGGACAACTTTATTTAACTACAGACCTTTCTAATTCATTTGTAAAAAGCACAAAACATGGTCTGTTCAAATGGTAATTATTTTTAAAGTCAAAACAACACACTTTTATTATAACCTCCTCCCCCTTTTTTTTATAATGTGAATGATTCCCAAGAATTCAATTGAAAATAATGAAAAAATCAAGGGAAGAAGAAAAAAAGCCAAAGAAGTCAACAGGCAATACACAATGTCGCCAAGGAAGTTCTGCCACTTCAGGTCAAGAATCAAAAGCAAAAGTTACTAAAACACTAAAAAAGAAGGACAAATGTGATGAAGATTACCACAGCATCGAAGAAAAAAATTTAGAGAAACATTTTTTGCAGTCGTTAGAGATGTGCAATTTGGCATACAGTGATATTTTCCCATACTTCTTTGAAGAAGTCAATCAAACATTGGATTGTGATGAAGAAGGGAGTGACACATTGTATACCTGCCCAGAAATCAGTGATGACATTTTACCAAAAAGAGAATGGCAGCAGAAAATTATGCATGAATACATTACGGTGGTTCTTGAATCGGATCCTATATTAGCATCCGTTCTACTAGTGAGGTTGTTGAATCCTCAGGAAAAATCAGACGAATGTTTTTCTATAATAACAAGGTACTTGAAAAATATCATTGAAAACCCGCAAAATGATAGGTACAGGCGTATCAGATACCAGAATCCAATAATCATTAGTAAAGTCTTAGAGACGAAAGGAGCTCTTATGTTTCTCTTAATTATCGGATTTGAAATAGACGTTGATAAAGATGAGCTCACTGAAACATTTCTTTCTTTTAATGAAAACCACCTTCACTTGGCGGGAGTTATTAAGTTGATAAGCGATGTCAAAGGATTTCAACTGATTGCCGTTGAAGATTATGATGAAAAAGATAAAAACGAGAGCCATACCGCCAGTGACGGTAGTCGCGAAGATGAGGCTTTCTATAAACTAACGTCAAAGGATTTGAAGAAGAACCAAGCGTTGAGAGTCCTGGAAATTGAAAAAGAAAGCCAGCTTAGGACTAAGAGTATGAGAGAAAAAGAGAAGAGAACAGTACCAAAATCGAAAGTAACGAAAATAAGAATAAGAACTCCAGATGGTAAATTGGTAGAATCCACATTTGAAATAAGTGACAAGTTGCTTAAAGTTTATGATTTCATAGAAGAAAATTTGTCCAATGGAAAGAGATTCACTGTTTTGGTTCCTCCAGCAACTCCTTTCAAAGATAGTGATAAAGATAGAACTCTCGTTGACTTGCAACTCTATCCTGCCGTTTTACTAACACTGAAATGGATTCCAGTTGAAAATACAGTAACTAAAGGAAAGAAAGTAAAAAAATAAACAAAATTGATAATTTTTTTTAATCGTGAATGAGCATATGTTCAACTTAGTTATAGTTGTGTAAGTGTTTGATATTATGCATTACATTTTCTTACATAGTGTATATGAAACAAATAACAATTCTAGAACATAAACAGTAGAACATGAAATCCAGATATTATAATAAAATTCATGCAGAAAGGTACATATTCACGTTGGGTACCAGTTCCACATAACTACAACAAGATGGCAGCTTGTTACAAGATCATCCAGAGCACGTAATTCCTAGGTTCCTGAGGAAATCCAAAAATAGCCGAGGGTAATTGTGTACAAGTGTCCTTCCACATTGAAGAGTGGGCCAAGATCTCACAATCACGAAATAAATGGGATTCCGATAGTGGCCAAGAAATGACGTCATGTTCACGGTATAACGTCCCTTTATACAGAGCACGATATCCGAATTCCTCAAAACTCCCAACTGTTCCTTATTAGTAAAAATTGGGACCTTTAATAGCTTTAATTCCATCGCTGCTTTCGAAACCCGCTCTACGCTAGCTCAAAAGGGATAAACAAATCCCCAAGGGTCCTTTTAAGTTTAGGGGAAGAAGCCTTACCAAACAGTTGGTCACCTTCGGAACACACTCGGCTATTCTCGGAATCCTATTTATAGCTTGATCTTAAGATCTTGGCCTACTGGTTAAAGTGAATTGACACTTGTACAGTAGTACCTAGCTGAGTGTGACAAAGCTGATTAGATTAAGCGAGAGAGCTGCTTTTGAAGTGTTCATGTAGATTTTTTAAGGTTATATTTCTCCATTTCTAATAAAAATTTATTAGCTAATAAATCATCATACCGGCCTAATTAAAATGAACCTATTGAAATTTAAATATTTCTTATAGGTTCGTACGTATAAATGCGAAAAGTACTAAATGTGTATAAAAAAATTACAAAATTTAAATAAGACTTTCAGAATTAAATTTGAACACCCACTGATAGATGTAAATAAAATACTTATTATGATAACTGTTATGATTGTTCAAATTAGTAGGACTTATTTATATTAATAACAATGGGGGAAGGGAAGGGAGGAGAAGGGCTCCGCAAACCTCTTACGGGTCATTTTAGCCCTCACACAGTATTTATATTACATTAGATGAAATTTAACAATAAATTTGTATATTGTGGGCAGCTGGCCGAACGGGCTAAGGTATGTGCACAGCACTGCCGTTGCCCGGCAACCTGATATATGAGACAATGGATTTTAAAATAGTCACGAGATCGCGTCGCGGTGCCGGGGGAGTCTTTTAAATCCCCGCCCACACCCCCTGGATCTGGAAAACTCCGTATAGCCTAAAAGGTAAGAAAGGGGAGGACCCAAAAAAATAAAAATAAATTTGTATAAAGATCAAAATATTTAAGAAATTAAAATTTCTAAAAAAAAGTGTAAACAAAGAATAATAATAGCATTATTATTATTAGCATACAAACAAAGTGTATTAAATTTTGTTAAATAAGTGCGTTACTTGAATAAATATAAACTTAACACGCTAGATTTTTTCTTTAGAGTGCTACCAATGAGTAGTTTCTCAACAAGCGTTTTCATGTGATTGTATTATTACTGTGTGCACATTTACTAGTTGTATTTTTTTATAATACAGTTGTAAATATCAATGAAAAAAAAAAAGAAATTCTTGATAAATATGGAAATTTTAAGTAAATTGTTGACAATTTATACTTCGATAATTTAGGCCACGCTGTTATTGAAATATTCAAATGATCGTGGTATTGGCCTCATTCAAGTGACTAATCTAATATGAACATTCTGTATTACTGGGTCAAATTTTCTCCCAAAAATGGTGGGGTGTTTATTAACTATAGACGGATCTGCCTACTTTCGGACACATTCGTGTATTATCAAGAATCTAGGATTAAGCTTGCTCTGGGTGATCTGGAAACCGGACCCCGTTATGAAGTCGCAAAACTGAGCTAGTATCTTAACTATATTGCAACTTATATTGGCTAACTATGATCATACTGTTTCTTATCAACGTTATATTATCAATCTCTATTTTCTTGAAAGTTTAGTTCTGATCCCAAACACCTATAATATATTTGAGCCGAAAATTCTGTGAACAGTCTATATATGTTATATTTATTTGATCACCATCACATCAAGTCTAAGGCAGTCAATATTATTCCTGTTTTTTCTTGTTATTCTTATATACCGCGAAGTCCTGCGTGGAGACAAGGCCTCTTACACCTTTGACCCTCAGTTATCCCTGTTCCGTGTTGCCGTCTTCCAATTCTAGACCCAAAGCATGGATCCGCCGTAACCTTGATCTTCCTCTGCTTCTTTTATAAAAAAAAATAAATAAATCTGTACCACTACAACCCATAAAGGGTCTTGGGTTCAGTACTATTTAGGGAAAGTACTGTTTCAAGGTCTACAGTTGTGTAGAGAGGAGATTGGGCCAGGATCACACTTAACCGCCAGATTTTCCCCTTAATCAATTATTTAATTAAGCGTACCCACTTTATAGAGGCTGTATGTGTCCCAGGAGGGTCTCACTACCCCAGAGCCGCCCCACGGCCGAGGAAACAGAATAAATAAAACTGTTTTCTACCATGAGCCAGGATTCAAACCCGGTACCTTGAGCACCGAAAGCTTAGTGCCCAGCCACTGAGCTACCCAGCTCCCTCTTCTTCTTTTATTAAACATTTTTATTAAATAGCTTATTTTAATAATCGCCAAACTAGTGTTGTTATTAAAATAAGCCAACTCAGATGGGCTGGATATGTAATCAGAATGCCTGATGAAAATTAGATTTCAAAAATATCCTCTTGGAGGAAATGTTTAGTAAAAGAAGATGAAGAAGAAGACCAAAATTATGGCGAAAATGTACGTGAAAGTAAAAGAAAAATATTACGTAACAATAAAATCTTATCTGTAACAATAATAGTGAGGACGTCTAATCTACCATTGATTTCACTTTTTCTTAATATTGTTGTCCCATTAATCACAATACAGGTTATTTATTGACAAATTGCCTGAATCAATAAATCACTGTAAGTTCATAACGTACCTATTTACGTTATAATTTTAGGACCCTATAAATAATAAATTTAGGGCTAAATATCTAAAGATATTGCGTATTACTTATAACATACATCGGCCCGAAGTTCTTAAGAGTTTACCTATTGAAATAATGCTGTTCATAAGAATTATCCATCTAGAATCATGCCATTTGTATGCAATTGCTTGCTGTAACAACAAATCATTGTAAGTTCTAGTTCGTCGATAGGCATTCCGACTTTTATCCATCTCATTTCATTTACAGTAAGGATGCATTATTAATACAGTTTGGGAACAAATTAATTAGAATTAGCATAAAATACGAAGAAGAATATTGTATTATACGACCCGTCCTCTTCTTCCGCATGGAGCAAAACCAAGCTTAGCACTAATGACCGCCAAACTATTGGTTCGTCTACGCATTTACATGCAAGAAAAAAAATCGATTTAAGCTGTTCACTATTTTTATACATAAAATATCTACATAACTATAAACATTTGTTTTTATGAGTACATAACCTTATATTATAATCTTATAAAAAATATATTATTATTAAAATTATATTATATAATTTAATTATCCAATCGCTAAAAAAAAACTCTTTTGAAAAAATAAAGAGTTAAAAATATTAGTCGTGACAAAGATTTTGATTATTTGTTTTCATCTTTTAGTTTACCAAATGTGCAATGTAATAATAGAATAAAAATTGTTGCCAAGTATGCTTCATAATGACATCATATTAAAACGTTTTAGGGTTCAGATGGAATTAAAATATTTAAATACGTGACTAAACCTGAAGGCTTCGGGTTTAAGTTCCAAAGCCCTAAGGCTCGAGATTTTCTGTTGTAAATTACGTTTTTATCTTGTTCTTTACATATCTCATTAAACAATTTCGTAATATGTATATATAAAAAAAATGAAAATTGCCTAGCTTATGAATTTTTTACTTAAACTGTCACTTATTTTACCTAAATGTGTGGACGAATAATTATTTTGCCCACTGTACTGATGGTATAAGAACCATCAATTCCTTTTATTCCAAGTGCTGGTAATTCATATGGCAGGGATGAAAGAATAGACCAGGATGTCTGAATAGAGTCCAAAAGGCCAATGGAATATACTACCAAATATCCATGACACTAATTGGAAAGCAGGAGTTGAGCAGAAAAGCGAAGATTCTGCTATACAAATCAGTTTTTCTCCCAGTGCTGCTATACGGATCGGAGAGCTGGACACTCTTGGACCGCCATGCCAGCAAGATTGTCTCTGCAGAGATGAGATTCCTATGGAAAATATTGGGGAAAACCAGGCGAGATCGAATAAGGAATGAAAGGGTGCGAGATGAACTAGGAGTTAGATCCGTCCTAGAGACGATTGAAGAAAGGCAGTTGAAGTGGTACGGACATGTTAATAGAATGGGAGATGACCGTAAGGCCAGGTGGCTTCTAGAAGCAAGACCGGGATGAAGGCGACCTCAAGGCAGGCCAAGCCTTGTGTATGCAGACTTGATAGAGTGAATTGGCGCAGCGAGAGGAAGCACCATACCGGAGATGAGAAGGCTTACACAGGACAGGAACCGTTGGACAAGATGGTCAGAGGCAGCTACTCCACGCTTAGCACCACACAGGAGATAGTGAGAGAAGAAGAAGAAGAAGATAATTCATATATACATACATGGCTCATGGCTCACATATACATGGCTCAGAGTATAAAAGAAAACCTCAGTGACAACGAAAACGCCGTGAAAAAAACCTTACAATTTTTAAAAATAATGAAATACTACAATACAATATAAATAGGAAGTGTTGCCAATGATCCTGCAGGGTAGAGGCAACAAATAAATAAATAATTCATATGGTCCATATAGAATTATTTTGAAATTATAAATACTTTAATTACAGAAGCTCTCTTTACCTTAAATTTTATCTAAATATTTTTCTTGCTTTTCTTTAAAATATTTACGATGTCCGAATTAGAAATTATAATGGGCCATTTAATAAATACGTTGAAAAATATTTTAGACATATTTTTTAATACTTCAATTATGTGATGAGGGCGATTGTTTTCGTTGAAAATTAATATTTCAAAAAATATTTAAGATATTCAAATAATAAAAAAAAGTCATAAATACCTGTAATAATGTGTTTTATTTTAATTTTCGGCTGATTAATTTTAAATAGGTATGTATCTCTGTGAAAATGGTGATAGCAATTCAACATCTACTTTTCAGGAGAAAGTATTTAACAAGTGATGTTGATTTCGCCATGTTATATCGTTATTAATAAATAACAGATCATGCCATGAATAACTGTACAAAATCATGTGGTGAATCTACAAAGGCGAAAATTCAGATTGTACAATGATTATTGGCTTTATGGATGTTTACTTCAGTTAAATTTTTTATTTGAACTACTTTTTTTATTTTGGTTTTAAAGGACGATAAACTTCAATCATTGCCCATTATCTTTGTTGTTGTTGCATTGTTGTAAATTCTATTCTATTCAGTCGGCGCGACAACTCGATATCGAGTCTTAGCCTCCTGTACCAGCCTCTACCAATTGTTCCTATCCTGTGCAGCTGCCGTCCAGCTCCTCGCTCCCAACATGAACATAGCACCCACATCGTCACTCCACCGAAGCCGAGGTCATCCTCTACGCCTTTTTCCGTATATTACTTCTGTCATAATATTTTTTCGGAATGTCATTCTCAGCCATTTGAACGATGTGCCCAGCCCATCTTAATCTATCGAGCTTTATGAAATGAACCACTTTTGGTTCTTTAAACAAATCTTTTAGCTCCTGGTTTGTCCGACGTCTCCATAACCGGTCAACTTTCACAGCTCCAAATATTTTACGCAAAATCTTCTTCTCATAGACCATTAGCCATGAAGGAGTATCACTCGGATAATTGTTTCATATAATAGGATTTTGGTTCCTCTGGTTAATAT